AATTATGTTAACATCCGAACACATATCAATAGTTATTTAACATTGTTTAATTTATATAACAGCGCTAACCCATATGGACAAGTTAAGAGTGTTTGGAAAGCAAATCAAAGTAATGCTCAGCAAACACCAAACGGTTCAATTGCCAAAAGAAGGTCAGCCAGATGCGGGCCTCACGAAAGATTACACCAACAGCACTCTTCATCGATTCAAGAAACCTGGCTCGAAAAACTATCAGAACATCTATCCGCCGAGCTCGACCCTGCATTTATCAAACATTCCGTGAGTAATCTAACAATAATACATATTATATTTCGCGCTGCTTCTCTTGGACTTAACGACATTCAATTTACTCTTTCAGAGCTACGGTAGCGGAGGAAGAAATCAAGGATGCTTTCACTAAGAACGGCTTCACTGTGAAAGCTTTTAAGTTCTTCCCGAAGGACAGGAAGATGGCTCTCATACAAATGCCTAACATGGACGATGCCGTGGCTGCGCTGATCGTAAGTCATTATTGTTGTCATTAATAAGCCCAAGTCGAACTGTGATCTTCTATCGAAAAGCTTACGCGGATCTTGATTTGCTCCTTAATTTCATTATAGCTGTAATTTTTATGAAAAAGATTATTATAAGTTTCTTTCCCAATGTTCACTTTGGAGGAGTTCTGTTTTTAAAATTCATTTATATAATTTTATTATTGTTATTTAAAAATTTTTCTCCCTTTAACATACAACGCAGTAATTTGTCTCTCGTAATTATCTCTTTAGGATTAAATTCATATTTTCGGTACTTTATTTTTACAGAATGAAATATTTTTCTTCTTCAAATTTCTAGTGTTATATTTATGGGCTTGCAATTTCGAGAATCAAAATCGGGTTTTTTGCTCAACAAACAAATAATACTAAACTATTCAGCACTTCTCTGATAAGTAGTTTTTGTAATTAATTCATTACTTTGAGAAACAATAATCCTGATGTTCTGTAAAATAAAAATAAAATTTCTTAGGGCATCGAGTTTATAAAAAATATACAGCACTTCTCTGATAAGTAGTTTTTGTAATTAATTCATTACTTTGAGAAACAATAATCCTGATGTTCTGTAAAATAAAAATAAAATTTCTTAGGGCATCGAGTTTATAAAAAATATACATATCGGTTCTCACAACATGCCTCCGTATCTATCGCAAGTATTTTTAAAGAAAAAGAAAGTAGAACGAAAATACTTCAGCTTTACTTGAAATCTAATTTAAAGTCAAATCCGTAAAATGTAAATTTCAGTTATTTGACTATAAAATCGATTCTTCCTCTTTTATAGAAAATGCACAACTATCAGCTTAGCGAGTCCAACCATCTCAGAGTGTCATTCTCCAAGAGCAATATCTAACAAGAATCGCCACCGCACGAGCAGCAATGGTACCAGCCATACGCCCTAGTTCCCCTTTGGTCACCCGCTTCGGTTTACGACTGATGGTCACGTAGTTGGATCCACTCGGGTGCTCGTCCGTTCCTGCGAGAGTCGCTACGCTATTGTTGGCCTGCACTGCGCGTGTAACCAATGCAGAACTGCATCGTACTCGGACTTTGAAGCAGCACAAGCGGATAGGAGCTACCTCGTCCGAGCGAGCTTAGGATGTTCTCGAGGCCTTGCCCTTGTTGTTGGGACGTCTATATAGCACGCACTTATTTTCGCATCCGGTTGATTTTGACGATTTGAGGGGTGTTACTAGGGTGTTTTGAGGTGTACCAAGGCTGCAAGCGCTCAAATTAAACGATGAAGAGGCAAATTCGCGACGGCCTTCTCGAAGGTAGTTTCCGGTGCTGGCTTTCGAGCGTATTAACGCGACAATTTCATAATTTTAGAAATATGTGAGAAATTTAGAAACAGACAAGGATTGTGGGAAAGGAAAGGAGGAGAGAGAGAGAGAGAGAGAGAGAAAGAGAATAATAACGTGATTATTCTTATGAAAGCCAGGACCGTCGCAGGAAGAGAGAAACATAAAGAGAGAAAGTGAGAAAGAGAGAGAGATATGCAAAATAAAACAAAGAGCCTAGCAGCCAGGCATACATAGAGAAAGCATGTGTAAAAGAGGGAAGAGAGATTAGGATTAGATGGGAGCGAGGAAACAGCACAGTGGCGAACAGTCCTTGACTCTTGTACAGAGTTAATGCTAGGGAAGATAAGATATATTATTATACATGTAAAATTCATGATCGCGCGGCCCAAACCGCTACAGTGATTACGGTTAAGAATTTTTCAAAGTTACGTGGACACAAGGGCGACCATCTCGCGATAAGCGCGCGCGACGGCGTCCGTATATCGCAGTTCGGAAGTAGGTCTCCGTCGTCAACGTGCTCGTTCGATGAGCGGACTCGAGGAGAAATGCCAAGTGGGAACAAATGGACCGCGAGGTATCTCAAGACGATCGTCGTACGTTCACGCGTGACGCGACGGCCGACTATCGTGAATCAGCAGCGTTTACCACGAGACAATCTTCATTCTTCTGACGACCAAATACACATGCGACCGAGCGTACTTCTTCGTGGCTTCCGTTCCATTTCGAGGGCGAGACATACGATCGACGAGGCCGACCGATCGAGTACGATGGGAACGACGTGTTTTAATTGACCGGGTATCTAAATAAAAAAATGGCCAATGTCACGGGACCTTTTGCATGCTTTCACGAAGTATTACTACTTCGCCGACGAACCGATCGCCCTCGTTGATTTTACGTCGCAAGATTGGCAGCGGCCAAAATTGGAGAGAAGAGTTGAAAGGCGCAGAGCGCCGAATCGGCCTTCAAAATTCTTCCCATATCCATTATTACTTATCGCGATTGGTTGATCCGTTCGTAAGGCGGAAGCGAAGCAATCAAAGTCATTCGTTGCGTGCTGAGAGCAATCCTAATTGGGGTATGCTACTCTGAACGTATCTGGCCCGCTCGATCTATGTTTTATGTTTCTTCGCGGGGCGTATTTCTCGCCCCCGAAGGTACCTGCAGTATTCTCGACTATCCGGCGAAGTCGAACGCTTCTTAGGGGAAGATCGAGCGATGCCTGAACGTTCAATGACCGAGGCGAGTTCTCTGCTCCGCAGATCCATGCGACGCGTTTGCGCGCGTCATTATATGGTCGTCACAGATGGCATTTTTATAATTTGTACGTTTCAGTTTGGAGATAAGTATTATAACGCACTCGCACACGTATCCGCGTCTTTACGAGACCGTACAATTATGCAGTTATATGTACACGGACACAAACACATTCATGCACGCGCCGCGCGCGAAGATAAATATTTCGACCGCCCTCTGATTTATACACACACACACACACACACACACACACACACACACACACGTACACGTACACGTACACGTACACAAATACATACAGACGCATAGATACAACTGAATGCGCGCAGATTTCTTAGTTAGAATAGATGCTTAGGCATGTGTTAGGATCTTAATCGTATAGTAAGCGACTAGATAAGTAATTGACTAGGAGAGGAAGGAGTGAACCGTTGAACATATCGCTAATTAAAAAGTTTGCAACGTACGGGGCGCGCGTGGAAAGTTTGGTGCCGGTCGTAGCGAATCAACGAGTGACACTCAGGATACCTCGAGGATAGTTCGCATAGATGGACAGTATTCGAAGAAGAGAGAGGTACTATCATGTCTCTGTGCCAACAATAGATCTATCGTTTGACGAGCTTTGATCCACCCCTTCGAGAGAGTTCCTGATATCAAAGCATTCCTTCAGTAGTCTGCGATTGTGAGAATTCCCCGTAAATACAAGCGAATATCTCGAGGCAGCATCGCACATATATAGATTGGTATTCGAGGAGGCGAATCATCATTCGATTAAACGAATAATTTGCAACGTTGAGTTCTTGTTGGACAAAGCGTTGAAGAGAAAAGCAAAATAATACGCTAGAATTGTATTTACGGGGATTTAGTGTGCAAAATCGATTAGGGTGGTTTTCGAGATGTCTGAGGTGTCCTCGTCGAAAAGCGCGAAACGGAATTTAGATCGGACGCAAAGTTGAGGATAATTGATCTTATTTCTGTTAAGAATGAGAATCCTGAAGTCCTTAATCGTAACATGCCGCACGCGCGCCGGCAAAGCCCACGGGTTTCTGTCTAATCGACGTTCTGTTGGAGTCAATTAAATTTTACTGATATAACATAACTGATCGTAGAGAGAAGTAGGAAAAGGATTAGTGTGTGTTGGAAGGAGACTGTTATGCAAAGGCATAACTGAACGAGCGAGAGGGAGGGAGAGAAAGGGAGAGAGTAATTGCGCGAGTGCGAGAGAAAGAGAGAAACGGAACGAAAGAATTGTATTCATGTTGAATGTATTGTCGCGCGACTTTGACGGATATTGAACTATATAAAAGGGTAGGAAGAGGAGTTTCTCCAAGCCGAGAACCGCGCAGCGATATAAGGCAGGGGGAATGACGAAACTGTGAAAAAAAAATAAAATAAAGCGAATGCCGGCTCGGGCATGATGTGCTGTTTGTGCCAAAGTAGGCTAGCCGATAAAACTCTAGAACGGGATCTCTTGGTGGAGCAGTGCGAATGGGATATCCCCGTTCGATCGCGTGGACGCCGATCCTCGGGGGTTCTCCTCGTACGATCGTAAACGTTTCCGCCAGGACCCCCTTCGATCGGCGATCTCGCCTTGATCGAGTACCGACCAATCAGCTAGTTGTTTAGAGACGTAGCGAGTAGCCGGCATGAGCGAAGGGGCCAGTCTTTGCATCTATGATCTGTGTCTTTCGGACCTCTGATACTACGTTATTTACTTGGACTGCATTTATACATTCTTAACCGGACACACGTTCCGAGCACCTGGACTGCAACACGGTCTGTTAACACGAGAGATATTCACGACACTTACACGCGCACATACACAGACATACACATAGACATACACACGCAATACATATTACTTAAGCAATACACAAAAATACACCTCCGCAATCGCCCACGAATGTATATCTAGATTCCAGCGCGCGATCCAGTTTTTATTTTATCGAAATATAATAGTTCCCTTTAAGTGGCTCGCTTAATTCGCTGTATATTGATCTAGAAATTCAAGAAGCGCTTCTCTTACATTACCTACTTTGTCTGTCTCATTCGAATCGTTTTTCGTGCGGTACTTTTAATATCTTTGCGATATCTTGTAGTAGCTCGCGCGCTGACATTTACACGTTCGTATTCTCCTCGATTCTTATCGCATATCGTGGAACATAGCGTGAGAGTGTCACAAGGAGGGAGGAAAAAAAGAGGGAGAAACTGTGCGGGAAAGCTTTCGTACAATCTTTACTTCCGGCACGAATATCGTCTAAGCGTACCTGAACAGCTCGCACAGAGAGTGTTACTCGATTTTCCGAGCTAATATATATATATATATTATATATTTCGATTTATACATACATACATATATATACACACAAACACGCGTGTATCTTTTTCGCGAATTGCCAACGTCGAGCACCCACCGTTCACGCCAGGTCGCTAATTATATTTTATTACTTGCCGGCCGTTCTTAGCACATTCCTGTTGACGCGTACAACACGCATCTGTACACACCAATTCACACGGAACACATGATACACGTGACGATCCACGTAAGCGCATCCAGTTTTGTTTTTGTCTTCGTTTTTTTTCTCTTTCGTTTTTTCGAATTTCTTGTCGACGTAAACTCGAACATTATTTTTTTCTTTCTTTCTTTTTTTTCTTTCATCATTCACGCCACTCTAATGGTGACAATCAGCTCTTCTGCTCGCAGAAGGAGGAATTCGGCGCAAGATTCCTCCGAAGCGTTATCGCCAAAACTCGTTTCGACGAGCGGTGCGAGCCGTTCTTTCCAATGGACTTATTATTAATAGAAAAACGTACCGGAAAACGGGGCAGCTATATACAGAACTATAGATATCTACAGGGTGCCCGACGTTAAATCACACATCTATTCGGTTTATTTTGTCGCCGTTACAACACACGTTAGATCGGCCTTCCTCCTTTTCGTTCGAACGATCCTCACGTGGTGGGCAAAAATGAAAAGAAGAAAAAAAAAGTGATGAGTAAGAGGAGGCACCCTGTAGACGGATAGATCGATTATATCACTAGCTGGGTTGAGGGGGGCCGAGGTGAGGGTTGGAGTAGCCAGCACTCGCTACATGGTGTCGTAGATTATTCCAGACTCCGAAATTTCCCCAGACTCGTCGCGCGAGGAATCAACCGGTGATAGTTCAAGGAGAGTTCATCCCTCCCGGAACGTAAACATTTTCGCATATCCAACAGAATCTCCGATACTGCGGATGAATAATATCGCGCGAATCAACGGAGAACGCGATGGAAACCTTCGCGTGAAAGATAGATATAATACATGAATAACAATCAAAGAAGAAACGATTTCTATCGAGTGAAGATATTCAGGATAAAATGAGCATTAGGATTCAGTCATAGTGACTGCGTTCAGTAGAAAAAAAAAACTTTACAACTGTTGTAAGATTCATATGATTGATTTATACATTTAGATCCAGTGAGAGGAACTAAGAGTAAAATCAATCATATTAATGAATTTTACAACGGT